TCACAAAGGTAAAGGGCATAAGAGCAATGCAAACTGGCATAGAGACCAGAGACCCTAAGCACAAACTGCAGAAGTGATAAAGAAAACAAGCGCTCCATGTTTTACTCTTCTGCTGGAGGCAAAGAATCTTGTGAGCCTTGGACCTTTTTCACTGAGGTGTTTTGTTGTTACGGCCTAAAAAAATCAACAAGATGGAATTTGGTGAGAATTCTTCCTTTTCCTACTTTCCTTTCAAAACTATGGACCTATTCGAAAGAAAAACCCACAAGATTTTATATGGTACTGAGGAGGAGTTGAGACATTCCCCTGCTTATTTCAAGGAACAGGAAGAATCAGTCATTAGCCTCTTAAAGGATCTAAGTACCTTCAAATAACTTTTTCAGTTGTTTGGATGATCACACTTGGTATGTAGTGTTTCCTTTACTCCTCATCATTATTCTTCATTGCTGTCCATCTTTATCCCATTTTTAATGCCACCATGACCCCTAATTGATTCCCCATCCTTGCCAAGGCACCACACTATTTCTGTGTCATTAATTTTCTTTTTTTGTCAATATGCCCTTGACTGAATATCACAAGGCTGATAATGTGGGGTAAGATTCTTTTTCTCCCTACCTTCTCCTGTTTTCAGGGGTCATCTCATATCTGCACTTATGGTTTGGTCTACTCGGCTTATATAACTTTTATTTTCAAAAGCACCATGAACAATTGTGAGAAGTATGGCAGAGGAGTAGCTTATCGGTAGGTTGTTTCCTCACATGAAAGCAGTCACACACAAACCCCTTTATAAATAGCTTAATAAAGACCTTGTTCATGTCTCTGATGGGCCCTGGCAAACAGGAGAGGAAAAACAAAGTACTGTCATATACATATTTGCATGGGTTTTAAAATAGCTTCTGAAGATTTAGATGACGGTGTGTCTCATGGTGATTTTTATTATGGTTCAAGAGATGGCAAAAGAGCCACTCAGGGAAATAGGATGGAACACAGGCAAACTCTGCAGGAAACAGAACACGTTCTTTTCTTTGCCAAAATGAAGCATTTCCATGAAAGCAGAAAAGCTTCCATGATAACACTTTTCAAACATTTGAAAGGCTGTCCTACAGAGGAGGGGCAGGATCTCTTCTCAGTCATCCCAGAGTGCAGGACACGCAACAATAGGCTCAAGTTAAAGGAAGCCAGCTTTCGGTTGAATATCAGGAAAAACTTCCTAACTGTTAGAGCAGTACGACAGTGGAACCAGTTACCTCAGGAGTTGGTGAGTGCTCCAACACTGGAGGCATTCAAGAAAAACTTAGATAATCACCTGGCAGATATGCTTTGATTGTATTCTTGCATTGAGCAGGGGGTTGAACTTGATGGCCTTGTGGGTCCCTTCCGACTTCGCTTTTCTATGATTCCTCCACCAACTACGGTCAAGGCCTTTTCATTTTTCTTCCCAGCCCATATATGTGAACAGAAATGCAATATGGAGCTAGAAAGGCATTTCTTTTCCTTCTGGTTTCATCTCTCCCCATCTCAGAATTGTGCCTGGAGAATCCTTAACAAATTCCAGAGTCGGAAATCCTTGCAATGTGAAAATCTCATCCTTGATACTGATGAGGATGGTGATGTGATGATGAATGTGAACTTTAAAGTACAGTTAGCAGCTTCATCAGCCTGATGATGATGGATTTTCTTTCCCCTGTACCAATGCTATCCACTTTTGGTTGGATTGGACTGATATCTAAATGACCTCAAAACAAATAAGGCACCTATGAAAGAACCCAAAACGAATGAAATCTGAAAGAGTTTCCTGCGTACATACCCATTAAAGATATCCGTTTATCATGAATGTGTGCTTTTCTTGCCTCCACAAATTCCATGTTTCTTTTGTTTCATGACTGGTCATTATGAGATAAACATGGGCTTCTTTAGCAAATCTTACTGCTCAGAGAATGTAGAATTGCAGTGTTACAAGAAACAGATTTTATCATCTTCTACCTGGAAAGCTGGCATTTTCTGTATCCCTAAAGATTACTGATAAAATAGGATGGAACTGCCTATCAGTATCTAAGCTACACCCCTCACCCTCCTGCTGATCTGAGGAGGAAGAGGATGATTTTCCCCCCTTCTTCAACTATGTCATTAAATGATCTTCAAAAAAAAAAAAACTTTTAGGTACAAGTGACAATATCTATAGCAGATGCATAGAAAACTATGACTCAGCTGACATTCAATTTAACACTGGATCAACTTGGAAACTGTTCAAATGCTTTGAAAACCTCTAACAATGGTAGGACTGTGTGTTATGTGTCACAAAATATTATCCTAGTCCCAGAGGACTTGTTAACACATTTCTTATGTCAGGATGCCAACAAGACAGCTCTTAATGGCTAGAATTACACAATACTAGATCACTGAGTGTTTTGGAAGTGTGATTGTTTGAGTGGATTATGGCTTGGTTGTGTCTTCTCCCCATTTGCCATCTTCTGTACAGAGGATCAGTTCCCATAAGCTTTATAATTGGTCTGAAATTCAGACAGATGAAGTCAATTTGCTGTACATCACTTTATTGGAAAAATCATTAAAATTCATTATTTGTTTTCCCCACCGAGTAAGGCCATTATTTATTTAAGACCTGTCTTATGAAGCAGCTCAAATTGTCTGATACCCACTGTTATTCAGCATGCAGTGGGAACAACTCCCAGACACAAAAAAACAGAATTAACAAAGGTATATAACATCCATCTATAGGAAGACAAATCCATGTGACAGCACCCATTGAGAAAATAAATGCAGTTAGAATACTTGGTTAATTTTTAATGTATTAAGTCTACAGTCCTTTCTGTAGATTCCCATATGTTGGACAGCTGGCTAGATATCTCAATAAGTTGGAGTTTCTGATGACAGAGCATAGGGTTGGGGGTTTGATTCCCCACTGTGCCTCTGGGGAGAAGAGCCAGTCTGTGTAAACTGCACGGGCCTAAGATACCACCAGAAGAAAAGGCAGGAATCCCTGACAAGGTCTGTCATAAATTCGAATCATTTTGACAGCATAAAATTAATTATTATTATACTTCGGACAAACGCTGGCTCTATGGCTTGAAGAGCGGGATGAGCGCCGCCCCCTAGAGTCGGACACAACTGGACAAAAATTGTCAAGGGGAACCTTTACCTTTACCTTTTATACGTCGAATAATTTTATCTGGGAATAAGGCCTAATGAATGTATTGGGGTCTACCCCTACATATACATACATGGAACAGCATTGCAAGTAGGAATAGAAATACCATTTGATTTTTGATCTGAATCAAGCCCTATCCAACTATTCAGAAAAGAGTTGATGTAGGCACAGGAGGAAAAAGATTTCTACCTCGGCTCCCTATCTGTTGTGTCTTAAAACAGAAAGTGATTATCTTAAGAAGAAGCCTTTGAATAGACATAATGACTCTTTGGCTACCTGGTTTTTCAAGGGCCCTGCTCATGGTGAAAAACCTCGCACAGCAGAGATTTTCTTCTTCAGAGTGTTGTCCTCCATGTGAAGCACACAACAGATTTAGCACTTCCTCCCTCCTCATATATTCAGCTTAGGCCTTTTCTGAACACATGGATTGAGGGGGGGGGGGTTCTGTTTTGCATACATGCAGTCATAAACCTGTTCTATTCAATTTACCACACAAATTGTGAGAATTTCTTTTTAAAATGCATTCAGCTCTCCATTTACTATAATACACAAGTTCCCTGCCACAAGCATTTTAGTGGAACATCCCATTACATGTGCCATGTTGTGCACAGTGTTTCCAAACATTTTTTTCCACATTATCTTTGAGTTGCACACCAAATCCTGAGAAGTGCTATGTCAATTTTGTCTTATGTATGGCTTGATGCCGTAACAATAAAGTATGTATGCATATCAAAATAATTTACCCGTTAATCCCAGAATGGTGAAATAGGCCTACTAACCTACATACAATATAAAACAATATGAAAAAAAATTATCTCCAACCCCATAGAGCAGTGACTCCAAACCTTT